ATGTATTCCTAACTAGTAAAATTTGTCTAGTGGAGGAGAATAAAAATAAGAACATTTAAATATGGAACCCCCAAGAAACAAAAGAAAGCTCATCAGAACAATTACAATGAAAATATTTATAGAAAAGGCAGAGGGAAGATACTTTATGGCGTTAGGAAATGACTGAGGCTGAGATGCCAGGTCAGGACCAATAATCTTGCAGATTCTTCTTTGGATTTTATCAAGAATCTCTGACTATATGAAACGAGCACCAGACCATATGTGGCAGTAAAGTTCACCTCATCTCTCTATTATATCACCACTAATTCAATAACGATCTATATTCAGTGATTCTTCAGTCTTGTAGAGGAAGAATTTTAGCATAAACACACACAGACACACACACACAAGAAAAGAATTCTGATTCAGTGAGAAACTGAACTCAGTAAGCCGATTCCGTTGCGGGTGCTGACAACAATTATGGTAAAGGCAGATTCAGGAGAAAATCTATTAATCAATAATAATAATAATGATTTTCACCAGTCAGTGGATTTGGTTGAAAGATATTCCTGGGGGGTGTGCGACTGCTGTGTCTATTTATTCCCCGGTTTCGAAAGTATATATGAATGTATGCAGAGACACTCAAACGCATATGTACACACATGTCAGTCTTAATATATCTGAAATACCTAAATTGTTCTGATAGCAATAATCAAAGAATTACCGTTAGTGTCAGATAAATAGGTGCAGACTTAAACTGGCAAAATTTGTACAAAGAAGTTGGCCGACAGAAAGAAATCAGACAGATTGATCGATTGCAAGACAAATAATTGAATACATGCATACATAAATACATATAGATTAGAAACAGTTTATGAGGAATATAAACAATTCAGATAGATAGATAGATAGATACGAACAGAGATTGCAAGCTAGCTGACATATATAGACAGACTAGGATAGATAGATAGATAGATAGATAGATAGATAGATAGATAGATTGAGCATGTCTGATATAAATATATATAGGTGTGTGTGTCTGTGTGCGTAGTTACATAGATTGAGTATGGTTGATATATATATATATATATATATATATATATATATGTGTGTGTGTGTGTGTGTGTGTGTGTGTGTGTGTGTGTGTGTGTGTGTGTGTGTGCGTCTGTGTGTGTAGATAGATAGGTTGATAGATATGAACAGATAAGTATCTGACAGACATAAACAGACTCAGATAGATAGATTGAGCAGGTTTGATATATATATATATATATATATATATATATATCTGTGTATCTGTATGTGTGTAGATAGATTCATATAGATTCATATTTATCTAAATATCAATTTAGATAGATAGATAGATAGATAGATAGATAGATAGATAGATAGATATGCGCCGAATTTGATATGAACTGAATGAAATAGAAATATGGATCCACTGAAACGAAAATTTAGACATTTTGATCGCTAGAGAATTTTTTTATGAACAAACTGAAAGAGGTAAATCGACAGATATGTGATAAGTACGTAGATAGATTTATTGAGCAAGTTTGATAATTAGATAGATAGATAGATAGATAGATAGATAGATAGATAGATAGATAGATAGATGTAAATTAATTAGTAAATAGATCGGACCATCGGAAAAGATCGAATGATAAAGAATAAATCTAACCATCATCTTCGTAATAGAAAGTGAAAGTAATGCGGGCTTAATGATTTTAACTCGAAAGTAGGTTAATAGATGTCGACTTCTTTGTGTCAGGAAACATTCTAACCCAAATTGTTTTTTCTTCCTTTTTCAAACAATGAAAAATACTTAGTGAATGGAATGCCATGTTAAGCACAAAAGATAAGGAATGAAAACTCCGAGGAAAATGAATATAAATTAAAAACCACAAGGTGATTATTTGTTTATGAGCGTGAGAAAAAAAGAAAAGAAAAAAAAAGGTCGGTAACAATTCTTCGTTTCAAGGCAGCCTCATCAGCAAAAAAAAAAAAAAAAAAAAAAGGAAAACTCAATGAGGCTCGAACTTAGAACTCTATAGTAATAGCCAACCAAATTAGCTCGTTAATCATAACACACGCCAAAGTGCCATGGAAATGTATTGAATCGCTTATCTTTTACTTACTCTTGCGTTCAAGATTTTTCCTTGCCTCGATTGTCTTCCTTTAGATTGTATTGATTTAAATAGATCATATATTTCTCTTCTTCCTCGATCATGGCCCTCCACAACTTCTTGTCGTTTCTCGCCCTTAGTAAAGTTTGTTATTTCTGCTATCTCTACTAATCCCAGTTCTGCCAACCAGTTATATGAGCTCGTTAAGTAACTTCTTCTTCTTCTTCTTCTTCTTCTTCTTCTTCTTCTTCTTCTTCTATGTACCGTTCCCTTTCATATAGTCTCTTGTTTCACTTTCTTGATGTTTCTCCAATATACTCTTTATGGCAATACTTGCAATGATAAAGTAAATTACTCCTTTGCTTGTTGTTTTGATTTGTATTGATTAGAGTACCGTGAGGGATGTGCTGCTGCAAGGTTGGATTCTCCAGGAATCAACCAGCCTCATTTTTTGTCCGACGACAGAAACACAATGGAGAGATAAGATGTAGCTTGTCTATTCGAAGGCAGATACTCCATTTTGATGCCAGCCTGATGGTCAGGGAGTGTCGGAAAGCTCAACTCGAGTCGAACTCGTTACAATATTCTCATTATTTGCAAGAAATATGGCACAATTCCTGAAGGGGATGGGAAAGGCAGCTCTTCATTTACCCTACATTTCATTAAAACTGAGTGCTCCGTCAATTAATATCGAATGTTTCCTTATAAGGAAGCTGGCAAATATTATCATAACCGTTAATACTGAAATGCGACATTGCTTATTCTACTGCACGGTGGAGTAATGGATAGCGGCTTGGATTGAGGAAACGGAGAGTCGAGTTCGAATTCCAGTCGAATCTATTACATTCATTTACGTGCTAACACCCTTGGGAAAGGTGTGAATCCTCTTTCTTCTCCCTCTAGCTATGGGTAAATAGCAGGACAGACTGGGTTCTATAGCCATGGATGGCAACTGGTCTAGGAGAAGGAAAACTCTGAATTCCAACCTGCTCTTAGAGGAGGGTGAATGGAGTCTCTCTGAGCCTTGGTTGGCAATTCATTTAGTGATGGTATCACGATAAAAACACCCTTGATAGCCCTAGCGAAGCATCAAGAATTCAGCTATTTGACAAGATTATGAACTACACCAATCAAAGTATTGGTGAGTTCAATCTCGGCTGAGGCCGCAAGATGATGATGATTCTACTGCAGTTTTGGATTTCGGTGAGGCATTCTCCAGAAAGCACTTGTAGATGAGTCATGAAATTGGAACAGTTTACCCACAAATCTGATATGCAAAACCTTATTCGAAAAGTGGAAAAAAATAATAAAAAGTAAAACCTTACATCGACAGACTTTGCTGGTAGATTTTAATTAAATAAATACTGTTTTATTTAACATTGTGTACATGTTTAGGACATGAAAATATATTTTTTTTTATCATTTCACCCTAACCAAGACGACAATATCATCAAAACGCAAGGGGGCTACTGGGAGTGAAAGAGAATGAGCAGACTTTAGAAAAAATCAGAATCCAAATCTTAAACGGGAAACAAAGGATAAACCTCTACTTCTGTTAAAAAAAAAACGGGGAAAAATTGTGAACCGGGCGATAGGCAACCTATCTACTCATATTGAAAAATAAATAAATGAATTTAAAAAATAGTGAATAAAACTTCGGAGTATAGACAGAGTCGTAAAATTTGGTTGGTTGGCTGTTTAATTTTGTTTAGTGGCATTTCAACACCTCTATGGGTTATTCAATGCCGATTTTTAGATATTTTGTATACAATTTTATCAAGTAAATATATTTTAATCGCAATCGCAAGCCTTCAATTACATATAATTATATTTATGCATAGCTGACCAATCGTATTCGAGGATATCTGTCTACTAGGGTGGCTAGCCAATCACTGTTGCAGCCGCTTGCTCATGCGCATTTGTGTTTGTTCAACACCTACAGAGCCCAACTGCGGTTTATACTGCAACTATGCTGAGCAAACCTCAGTGACAGTTTCTGGGAGAGAGTGGGTTATGTAGCGTAATCAACAATTTGAACAAGATTAGCAAGATCAATCCCTCGGCCACGATGACTTGTGAAACCGTGATAGTACAGCTATGGACGACCCCAAGGGTTCCGTCTAAGTTTGGGTCAACCCGTGGTATGGTTTTCAAGCATTTTCCCCTCCAGTCCGATATCATGATCTCACTACGAACGTTCCAACCCCTCGGTCACGTGCCATACATATAAATATATAGTTAATAGGTGGTTCCACGCTCCTCAAAACCTCCAAAGAAGAAGGAAATTACTGGAAAGTAATTGAAACTCACCTGAAGCGAGCTGAATGTGTAATGCTCCTCATGCCAATGACACTTCCACCGAGCTTCTCTACGGCATATGACTTCACTGAATTTTGATGTGTTCCTCTCGAATTTATATTTAAACTGGGGTCATCAGGAGAGAATGTGCACCGTTTCGGGGCCTTTACGTAATGTTTTGTCTAGCATACACCACGCTTCCGAGTTGGATGCTGGTGGAAATTTGATTCTTGGCAGTTTGGGTTGCGTCCCATCCTTTGATTCAACAGCTTGGATATCCTCAGCACTGTGGTATGCATCCTGGCATTGGTTTTCCGACATCTTACCTGTGTTGACAGAGCTCTGCTCCTGAACCGTTTTCAGAGAAGCACAACCCATTTTTGTAAAGTGAATCTTCGCTCCCTTTTTGGAACTGAATTTCCGACCACATGGGAAGTCCGTGCACTTTTCTAAATTTATAGTTTGTTTTTCATTCCGAGTTCATTGCCGATTATTCCGTTTGGATTCATTATCCTCCCTCCCCTTTCGGTGAATCCTGAGGGCATTTCCTTTTATATTCCTTTTTAGCAATAATTTAATGAACTCTGGGTTGCTAACCCGATGAGATCATCTGGTCTTTTCCAGCGTCCCCTGTCTTTCCAGATGTCTGTTAGTCTGTTCCTAACCGCCATTCAGTCTATTCCTGAAAGCCAATATCCCACTCAGAGGCCTACTTGCCGGATGCAGTTTATCGTCATGCCCAGGACTATAGAGACTTTAAAAGTTCAGAATTAAACTAAGAACATACGTGTTTCAAGTGCATGTATTTAGCTAGGAACAGATATATTATAGCAACTGAGGAATTAGCGTGGGGTAGTGACAGTCACACATTCCCAAGCAGACAGTGATTGTCAGGTTCACGCCGAGTTAAAAGTTTTGAATGCTGATTTTCGTAGCAGACAGGATAGACTATCTCTAAGTGGAAAAATTCAATCATTCAACATTTCTTATTCCATTTTGTTGTGTGTTGAATTGTAAATTGTCTTTCTATACTATACTTCTTCTAGAGATGTAATCATGACTCTCCACATCTTCCTATATTTTGCAACTCTCATTAAGACGAATATTATCCGTGTTGTAAAAATAATGTTTTACACGCAAGAATAAGATATTTGATTTTATTCATGTAGACATGTTTATTAGTCGTAAACAGCGTGTCGTCTTGTTTAGTGGCATATCAACTCCTCATGGGTCATTTAATGACAAAATTTAATTTTCCCGGAACCATTAGTAATTTCATTTACAAAAATATATTGCTAATATTTTTTTTTACCAAAAATGAATTTTTGGAATTTTTTTTTATGAAAATATATTTCTGTTATTTTTTCTAAATTTTTTAATACAGTATAACCCGGATATAAGAGAGTTGTCGGGACCGGAGAAGAAGTATCTTATATCCGGGTTTCTCTTATATCCGGGTTTCTCTTATATCCGGGTTTGATCTATTTTATATACATTAACACAGGCTCTAATTTGGGGCCAGAGAAAATCTCTCTTATATCCGGGTTTTCTTATATCCGGGTCTCTTATATCCGGGTTACACTGTACTTTCGTTTTGGACCCAGTTTAGCTGGTTTTTATACTTTTATCGTGTTTTGACCCCAGTTTCCTCATAGCTGGTTCCCTAACAGGTGCTACGACCCCTGGTCAAGGTGGACCTTGGAACAACAGCAATTAAGAGATGGTCCCACGTCCCTGGAAACATCCCAGTCAGAGGCCTCGTTGCCTGACGGAGTTTATCGTCATGCCCTGGACGCCTGCACTCAACGAACAAGAAGTGCAGGCGAATAAAATAATTGAAAATAATGCAAAGATTTGGTTTTCCGAATTGCTTTCAGATTCTCTTTTTAAAATTATCTGTTAGACATGGATTATATCTCTCCTTATAAACATATTTGTGCATGTAAGTGCTCGCGGATGCCTTTGTCTCACTGAGACCTGCACTCTCTCTCTCTCTCTCTCACACACACACACACACACACACATATATATATATATATATATATATATATATATATATATATATATATATATATATATATATATATATATATATATATATATATATATATATATATATATATATATATATATATATATATATATATATATATATATATGTACGTATGTATGTATATATATACCCATTTAGTTATTGACTTTTACCAATGCACCCGGTTTTCTTATCGTAGGATCAACATAATCAGTATTCTATATACATGTTATACAGCTATATCGCCATTATCATAAAGTTAATAAGATTACACCCGTTCCAGTCCGGCATATCTTTTCCCGCCACATCAGATAAGCTCCCGCTGATACAGGCGAACAAACAACTTTGTAGACGCGGCATCGAAGCAAGACTCGAAACACAGACGCGTCTTACGTTTCCATGGTTATGTATCAACTTAATCCGCGGTTTTAAATCCGAATGATTCGGCTGAAACTGACGGACGCATCGCGATGTAGATTAGCATTAGCCTTTTTGTGTATATTATCTCCTGTTTGCATCGAATCGCTTTTTCCCTTCGCTTTTTCTTTCTTTCTTTCCCACCCTCCTCTCTATTTATTTGTAATTTTCTGGGTTGCCGTTGGATTTTGTCTTACTTACTTTTTATTATTTCTTTCTTTTCCTTTTTCTTTTCCTTTTTTTTTGTTTCTTTCTTTTTCTTTATTTTCATTCTTGACCTTTCCTCTCTTTATTTTCTTTCTTTCTTTCTCAATTTCTCACCCTTTAATTTTTAATTTCTTTCAGTTTGTTTTTGTTGGTTTGTTGGCGGCTTTACTTGTTTCTTTCTTTCTTCTATTGTCCTATCACTTTGTCTTTCTTTCTTTCTTTCTTTCTTTCTTTCTGCATTCCCTACTTTATGTTTTTTTTCCTTTTTTAGTCTTTTCTCTTCTCTTTGTTTATTTATTCGTTTTTTGTTTGTTTGTTTGTTTGTTTGTTTGTTTGTTTCCTTCTTTCTTTCTTTCTTTCTTTCTTTCTTTCTTTCTTTCTTTCTACATCCCTTACTTACTTTTATGGTTTTCTTCCTTTTTTATGCATCTCTAATATCTTTCGTTAACTTTTTTCTTTTTTTCTTTGTTTGTTTGTTTCTTTCTTTCTTTCTTTCTTTCTTTCTTCAACTTTCTTTTTTCTTTCTTTCTTTCTTTTTTTTCTACATTCCTTACCTTTATGGTTTTCTTCCTTTGTTTTTACTCCTCTCTTTCTTTCTTTCTTTCTTTCTTTCTTTCTTTCTTTCTTCTTGCATACTTTTTCTTTTTTTCTGGCATTCTTTCTTTCTTTCTTTCTTTCTTTCTTTCTTTCTTTCTGTCTTTCTTTCCTGCACTTTCTAGTTATACATTTCTTTTTCTTCTTTTATCTCCTTCCATTCCATTCCCCCTTCCACGCCACACATTCTTTCTACTCGCTTTATGTCGTTGTCCACCTTATTTCGCCTCCCATACATAATTCATGGCTAAATTCCTGGGATGCAGAATTATCATTATTTACATTACTTACATTTGCACTCATATCCACATCTTTGTTTATACTAACCCAACAATTCGGCCGTTTTGCCCCCAGGCCTTCTTCCTGTGTTTGTCAATTCGTGTAACCTTCAGGGAATTTCGAAACAAACGTTTATTTAATCTACGATTGTAAATTACGATCGTTCTCGTTTCCATGTCTATGGATATATCTTCTTTTTTTTTCATTTTTAATATTGCTCTTGCTGCTTTCAATTAGTCTGAATCTGTATTACCCGGCCAAGGATTGAACTCACAATGACTAGGTTGCCAAATTCATGAAATTGAATGACTAAATTTCTAAATTCATATTTCAGAATGTGTTTCAAGATTTCCGTCTTCCTTCATTTCCGCATCATAACAAAAGCGAAATTTGGAAATTTAGAGTAATCTTATTTCATTTCAAAAATAAAACCAGTAAAAAGGGAATATTTTAAATTAACATCCGGTCCAAAAATAAAATGCTTTTGACAAAAACCTTTCATGATTTCACTCGAATTATGTAACAATAATGTAATGAAATTCCGCAGACAAATCTACGATTGATGTTACCTTATCTAATTGCATGATTACGAACTATAAACCTAAATTGGTCTTGAAATATTGTGTATTTTTTGTAAAAATATTTGGATATGATATAATGAATAATTTGCAGGGAAAAAAACAATTTTAGATTTTTTGTTGCATCATATATATTTTTTCATTTTTCGTTTCATCTTTTGGAAGTGCTATCTGATGATCCGGCGTCGTTTAAAAGGGCTCTGGTGAAATAAATTATTATAATGGAACCTTAAAAGTGATCTGTTTTTCTTTTTAATATATATATATATATATATATATATATATATATATATATATATATATATAATCCTTGTGAGCCTGGAACTACCTACCTGGGTTTAACCTAAATGGATTACCCTGAAGATCCATTTAGGACTTTTTTTATCCATCTAAGATTTTTATACTCCGCTCGACTTAGCGTATTAAGCTCTTTACATTTTTTCTTAACACGATTGTTTTTTTTGCTAGCGGGGAGAAGAAATTACAGCACTGGATGATTTTTTCGGCCTACTCGGATGTTTTTAGTCCTTTCATTTTTGTTTTTAATTTATATTTTTTCACAGATATCTACTTGTTTTAGTATATTTTTATTTGCAAATTGTGTTGTGTTATTCAGGTTTTTCCCAAAACATTATAGTTATTAATATAATATATATATATATATATATATATATATATATATATATATATATATATATATATATATATATATATATGTATGAATGATCTTTTGTCCTCTCAGAATTGCTCAATTTGGAAGAGAGTGGAGCTGACACAAAACGATTTTTACCTGTTCTTTTCGAGCTGATTCTTACGACAAACGGAATCAGGATGGCTAAACGTCATATTTGAAAACCTTGAAAATGAAAGTCAATTAGTTCAGTGTTTTTTTTTTTTTTAGTTTTTCTTTTAGATATTAAATATTTTTGACGATGGACAATTATGCTGTTACACGATTTGGACAATTTTGCTGTGACACCCGATATATATATATATATATATATATATATATATACACACACACAATAAACTCCCAAATCACCTCGTATGGGGAATAAACCTCTTCCCCTTAACACTAAAACCTTCCCTTTAAGACTAATACCTTCCACGCTCTCTTGACCCCTGTCTTGTGCCTTTCGTCTGACTGAAACATTGAAATGGATAAATTCTGTATTAGTTTTACGATTCTTTTTTGTAGCTTTCACAGTTAAATTTCTATTTCCGACACGAACTCAGTCTATACCGGGGTTGAATAAGACTGACGAATTTTATTTTTTCGTCGATTAAATAATCTTATTCCCCATATGAGGGGATTTTAGATTTTATTGTGCATTATTTTCTGCTCTGTAATAATACATACGTTGATCTCTTTTTGTGAATCAGTTTTAATATTTTATATTACTAGAATCCACTTGGATTGCATACCAACGGATTTATTACCTTTACTATATATATAGGTACGATGAGAACGAATAGAGTACACTGCTACTTAATTTATATTACAACAAAAAATATTATTTTAGCCATTTCTATCAGTCAAAATTCAAGTAAAAAAAAATGTAGCCATTTCTATCAGTCTTTAAGTTAATGTCTGGTTGCAAGTTACTAGTCACAAAACCTTACATTGCATCTAGACATATGGTTCTGTTGTTAACATTTCGGTCTCTCACGTGGCACGACGTCATAGAACCGCATCATGAATTTACGATCTGCGTCATTTATTCCGCGACCATAATCGTCGCATATGAATCTTCTATGTCAACATAACAGAATATCATCTTTGATGGTGGATACCTTTGTTCAACTCTGAAGATGTCTCATGTGGGCCGAAAGCTTAGATCAAGGAAGAGCTTAAGGAAAAATATCCAAATGTTGGACAATTTTGCCTTTATTTTCGCCCGAAATCAAAGCAAATATATGGCGTTTAGAACACATAACAGATATTTATTGTCAGTTATTTAACAATATATATATATATAATGAACAACAGACACTTTAAGGTACCATTACAATGAAATGAGAGGAAAAATGTGATCACATTTTTCCTCTCATTTCATTGTTGGAAGTGTTTTGCCTGATGATCCGAAATCCTTTAAAAAGGATTTTGGTGAAATAAATTATTGTAATGGCACCTTAAAGTGTCTGTTGTTCATTAAATATTAGCTCTGTTCTTCACATTGAGCTCTCAGGATTTCATCCTCCTTGGAATTACCAATTCGGTTTACCAAATTCTTCATAACTTAACTATATATATATATATATATATATATATATATATATATATATATATCCTCGTATATTTTCTTAAAGAACCCTCTTGAGGAAGGGTCAACTCATTCGTGTATCCCTTCTTCATCCACCCTTACCAATTTGTTGATTTCCCAAGTCTTTATTTATTCGGCCTAATCCTTTTACACATGACCTTGATACTTTTTACCACCTTCGTCTTTTCGAATATTTGTAAAATGTTGACCGCTTTTTTTTCTGGCTGCTTCGATTTTTGTCTTCTTCTCTTATTTTTCTACATTCATTCATTTCTTATTGTATTACTTCTCCCTTTTTCAGTTTTCAAGTCTATTTTCTTTCCCCTAAACTCTTTCATTTCTTACGTGTTATATGATTAAAAAAAATAATTTATTTCCTTCTACACATTTATTTATTTTATTTTATTTTTTACGTTTCATTTTTTCTTATTTGTTTATTCATAACTTTTTCATTTTTCTCTTTCTTTCTTACTTTCTTTTTTATTTCTTTTTTATTTCCACTTCTTTCTTTTTCATTTTCTTCATTCATTTCCGTGTCCATTTTACTTTTTTCATATTTTCTTTCTTTCATTCTTTAATTTTTTTTCTTTTACATTTTTCCCCTTTCCTTTATTTCTCTCTTTCTTTCTTTTATCTCTTTTTTCTTTCATTCCATTTCTTTCTTTTCATATTTGCTTTTTGTCTTTCTTTTCTTTCCTTTATATATTTTTCCGTTTCTTTGTTTCAATTTATTTCATTCTTTCGTTCATTTCTAACATTTTCTTTCTTTTTCGTCTTTTGTTTCCTTTCTTTTCCCAATCCTCCTTGCTTTTATTTTTCATTCTTTCATTGTTACTTTTTATATTTTTCTTTCCTTTTCTTTCTCACTTTTACTTTCTTTCGTTCTTCATTGTCCTTCTTTGTTTTCCTCTTCATTTTCCTTTTTTATTTTCCTTCTTTATTTCCATTTGCTTTCCTTGTTTTCCTTCTTCATTTTCCTTCTTATTTTCATTCTTTATTTGCCGTCTTCATTTTCCTTCTTTATTTTCCTACTTCATTTTTATTCTTTATTTTCCTTCTTTATTTTCCTTTTACATTTTCCTTCTTTATTTTCCTTCTTTAGTTTCTTTCTTTATTTTCGTTATTTATTTGCTTTCCTTATTTTCCTTCTTCGTTTTCCTTTTCTATTTTCCTTCTTTAATGTCCTTCTTCATTTTCCGTCTTTATTTGTTTTCTTCATTTTCCTTCTTCATTTTCCTTCTTTATATTCCTTCTTCATTTTCCTTCTTCATTTTCCTTCTTCATTTTCCGTCTTTATTTGTTTTCTTCATTTTCCTTCTTTATATTCCTTCTTCATTTTCCTTCTTTATTTTCCTTCTTCATTTTCCTTCTTCATTTTCATTCTTCATTTTCCTTCTTCATTTTCCTTCTTTATATTCCTTCTTCATTTTCCTTCTTCATTTTCCTTCTTTATATTCCTTCTTCATTTTCCTTCTTCATTTTCCTTCTTTATATTCCTTCTTCATTTTCCTTCTTCATTTTCCTTCTTCATTTTCCTTCTTTATATTCCTTCTTCATTTTCATTCTTCATTTTCCTTCTTCATTTTCCTTCTTCATTTTCATTCTTCATTTTCCTTCTTCATTTTCCTTCTTTATATTCCTTCTTCATTTTCCTTCTTCATTTTCCTTCTTTATTTTCCTTCTTCATTTTCCTTCTTCATTTTCCTTCTTCATTTTCATTCTTCATTTTCCTTCTTCATTTTCTTTCTTTATTTTCCTTCTTTATTTTCTTTCTTTATTTTCCTTCTTCATTTTACTTCTTTATTTTTTTTCCATTATTTTCATTTCTGTATTTCTTTTTCTTTCTTTCTGTCTTTCTTTCTTATACTAATTATATTAATTATATCTCTATCATGTTGCTCGTGAGCTTTATGCTCGTCTCTCCTGTTGAATTTAAATTCCCAATTCATTTTGGCATTTTGAGACTTCGACTCTTTCATTGAAATATTTATTTTTCGGTTTCTCCTTTTTTCGTTGTTTTCTTTTCCTTATTGTTTATACTTCAGACATCGTTTTTATAATCTTTTAATAAATTTCCACTAAGTTCTGTTTCATCTGATACATTATTCTCGTCCATCTTTTGATCTTCCTCTCCGTACTGGCAAATATTTATCAATCTCGCCATTTATTTTTTTAAATTTTTCTTTCTTTTGTCATTTATTTCGAAATGTGTTTCCTTTTAGTTTGTTTTTGACTCACTTCTTCATTTCATTTGATATCATTTTTTTTCTTTATTATTATTATTCAAATGTCATTCTCTTCGCTAGCCTCGGATTTTCTTCTTGTGATTTCACCTTACATCATATTCTCTCTTTATTTTTTCATTCTTTTCATTCTTTCAACAACAATATCGTTTCTTCTACTCTTTCACGGGGATCGATTCCCGAATGTCTAAATTTTTAATTTCTTTCATAATTCTTATTCAGCATTTTTTTCAAGAATCCCTGCTTTCACCTTTTACGTATCATTTCTTTTCTTCGTCAATTTCCGCTTCTTTCTTTCTCGTTTTCTTTTTCTTTTTTTCTTTTTATTTTGTTCTTTCTTTCTTTCCATTTGCTTTTTCTTTCATTTTTTCTTTTCTTTTTCTCTATTATTTTCCTTCTTTCTTCCTTTCTTTCTTCCTTTTTCCTTTCTTCCTATCTTTCCCCTCGACGTCTCACTTATTTTTCTTTTCCTTTCTTTGTCAGTTTTCCTTTTTTATTTTCCTTTCATTTTTTTTCTTTTTTACTTCAACTTTCTCTTTTCTATTTCTCTTTTTGTCTGTTTTTAATTTTTTGCCTAATTTTATGTTGTTTTGTCTTTCATATTTTTCTTTCTTTTGCTTTCCTTCACTCCTTCTTTCTTTTTTTTTCTTTCTTTTTTCTTCCATTCTTTCCATTTGCTTCCCTCCTCCGTTTCATTCCTTTTTCTTCCTTCTTTTCCAGTTCTTTCATTTTTTCTTTTCTTATACTTTACTCTTCTCCGCCATTCATTTTATTTCCTTTTTTTATTTTTCTTCTTTCCTTTCTTTTCGCTTTCGTTTCCTGCTTCTTTCTTTCTTTCTTTCTTTCTATTTACCGTATTACTTTACTTTTCTTGCTTTCTTGCCTTTCCTCCTCTCTTACCTTCTTTTGTTTTTTTCTTTCTTCACTTTTTCTGTTTGTCTCTGTTCCTTTTTTTTCTTTATATTAACCTTTATATTTCTACTTTCTTCTTTTCCTCCTTCCCGCTTCGTTATCTTTGTTAGTTTGTTTGTTTGTTTCTTTCTTTCTTTTTGCTTTCTTCTTTTGCTTTGTTTTCTTTCTATCGTTTTTTTTCTTTTTTGTCTTTTATTTTTTCTTTCTTTCTTTTTTCTTTTTCCGTTCATTCTTACTTTCTTTCTTTTTCATTTCAGCTTCATTATTTCTTTTTTCTTTCTTCCTTTGTTTTCATTTCTTTCTTACGTTCTTTTCCTTTTCTGTCTTTTATGTTTCTTTCTCTTTGTATTTCCCGTAATGATTTGCCTCTCTTTTTTTGTTCCATTTCTCCTAATTTCTGTTGGCATTTCTTTCATTCATTCTATCTTTCTTTAACTTCTTTCATATCCGCTTTCTCTTCGCCATTTGTCCATTCCTGATATCCTGCATTCGTTGAATCTTTTCTTCTTTATTTCTCACATTGCATCGTCCATCTTTTCTTCATTCCTATTCATTATCTGTTTCAGTTCGAATGATTCTTCACTTCTTCAAATTTACTCAAATCGTCGCTTCTGTCGCTTCTTTCTTGCGCTTCGTCTTTCAATCTTTGCACCATTTCTTCTTATTTTTTGTGCGCACTAACTAACCGACTTCCCTTCATAATGTCATGTCGACCTCACCCCCCTCCCAGCGTCCTTGTCGCTTGTCACAAAAGGACGGATAAGTTGCTAAGTAAAGAACTTAGACAGCTCTGCCGCCATCTTGCTTAGTTTGACGGCCATCTTGCTTAGATTGCCTGAGTACAACATTGAGAATACGATGACATTACCATGAGAAGGCGAATGGGAAGTGAGTATAGAAAGCAGATGGGGGGTGTTGTGGTGATTGGGAAAGGAGTGGGAGAGTGAGTGACATAACGGTCATAGAGACCTGCCGGGTGGAATGATCCAGAAAGCCTGACAGGCAGAAGCAAAAAAAAAAAAAAAAAAAACATGAAATAGTAACAGATAAAAAAGAAAAGAAAAAGTACAATGACATAGATAGACAGATAAGAAAGATTTATATATATACGAGGTGAGGGTGCTGAAAAGTCAACGTCCTGACCAAGAAGCACTTCCTTCCAAAAATCATGATGTTTTGGAAATTTATTAAGATTTTGGGAAACAGGACGTAATATTTCGACCCATCCTCGAAGCATTCACACACACACACACACACACACATGTATATATATATATATATATATATATATATATATATATATATATATATATATATGAAATACCAATATATAACTTTTTGTATAAATTTATATATCAACGAACAGTATTTAAAAAAAATACTAACGGATAAAACGGATCACACAAAAAAAACTATTTTGTCATATATATATATATATATATATATATATATATATATATATATATATATATATATATATATACACATTATGGGTCAGTTTTAATATTCTTCGATTATCTCACACACACACACACACACACACACACATATATATATATGTGTGTCTGAGAGAAATTATTAGCAGGAATTAGAATCCGCAACAGACATCCGTTTTGTACAATATTCGGGATTCAGCAGTAGTTGGCATTCACTAACGAGAATCGACCATGAACCTTTACGATACGACGCAAGTGTCATACCAACTGTACCAATCGTACATGGTGAGGAATAAACGAATAATTAGACTCGAAATAGCGCCGCTCTTCACAAATTCAGTGGTGTAACTCATCCGATTTTCCCTAACCTAACGGACTGTGATCTCACCAGCCACGTCTTCTAATACTCTGGATGGAGCGGCTTGAGTTCGTAACATTGAGCACTGTTTTTACAATATCTATAACATCTGAGAAATTAATATATATGTACGTGCAAGTTTATCTGCGTATACGTATATTTTCTTATCATACCCATATCAAATCTCTATCTCACGCTATATATATATATATATATGTGTGTGTGTGTGTGTGTGTGTGTGTGTGTGTGTGTGTGTGTGTGTGTGTGTGTGTGTGTGTCAGATGACGATATATAAATTTTTATATACCAAAAACAATATTTGCTGGGTGGGGAATGCATGAGAAAGTGAAAAAAGTTTAATTGTGACGCGTTTCAACCTTTAGGAGTCCGTTTTACTAAATTTGTTCTGTTGTTACGACGTGGGATGCTGGGAATTTTAGATTGAAAAAAATTGCAAAAAGTTCATTTTTTATATATAATCTCGCTGATTTATTTTTTTTCTTTTTGTTTCCATCACTTTTGCTATCAGATACTCCACACTGGGACAACGGAAGATCTGTCAGAAATGGTGAAATGTTGTAAGATCCCGGGCGCCAACTTACTGTGGATGACCTTGCTATCAAAACAAACTCTAAATATTTTCCTCGTAGTGAATTATTTCCTTTATAAGTAATTTATTTATATATGCTCTGTAATAAAAGCATTATGAAATGGACAATGTCCGACAATTATTTTAAAACATTCTTATGTTTATACATTCTTTTGATAGAACATTTACCAGCCTGAATGTCCGAGAAATTTTCAAAGAAAACGAACCTGTATCCTATACGGAACCGTCATTTAGCCTGATGTGCCTTAACCGATCGAGCCACGGTGGATCGTTCGATTAGCATGATCGATTTTACTGTTTTTAAACTTCAATCTCCCATGAATCTCTCACGTACATTCATATCTGCTCAAAGCGTATCCAAATGTAAAGAAATGACGTCACACATTATGAAATGGACAAAGTCCGACAATTATTTTTATGTTTATTCATTCTTTTGATAGATATAAATATTTAAGTAAATGCTCTGTTTTATAATAATCAGTATTATAACATTTCTATGAAAATTTTTCGGACATTCAAGCCGGTAAATGTTATTTGATTATT